TTTGGACCTGCACACGTGTTTCTTTAACACTTCGAGGTGGTGACTCCCCCCATTGCCAGCAGGGATGAGGGGACCAGCCGTGGTCAGGTGTGACCTGAGGGAGCTCCCGTGATTTGATAGAAAAATAACTCCCCAGTTCTTTTCTCTGAGGAGGAGAATTATTTCCAGCATCACGAGAAAACAAAACAGACCAAGAGGGATTATTTTCCCCAAACAAGATGCTGTTTGAAAACACCCACTTGGAGTCACACATCATTTTTTTTCCTCCCTGGTTGTTGCAACTTTGCCAAGTCCAAAAATTTTGATACTGAGTTGGCCTTTGAATTCATGAGACCAGCTTAAAATTCCCGAGATTGTTTTTTTATTTTGAAAATTCTCCTTCTTTTGAAAATTCTCCCTAAAAGGCTGTGTCTCTCTGACAAGAGCTAGAAACCCCCTTTTGCTCCCCCCTCCATCTCCTTTTTTACTGATTCTCCGTGGATTGAATGAATTCTGGACCTGGGCCCTGAAGCAAACACGAAGCATGGGGAGATTTGCAGTTGATGGTAGGAGTTGTCAGGAGCTGTTGTCAGCACAGCTTACAAGATGTGCTTGAACCATCCCCAGCAACTGTTCCTTCCCAAGCCAGCTCTCCTGACAAGACAGAAAGCACAGGGAGCCGCCTTTCCTGGCACAGACACCAAAAATGAGAGCTCTCCCTGCTGTCAGTTTGAGCTGGAGAAACGCCCCCACACACGCACCCACCTGCTCCCACACGCCCTGGCTCAGCCCCAGCCATCCCCTGCTGCCTCCCACCCTCCAGGCTGAGCGGGTTTTGCTGTGGGACACACCTCGGTGGCTGGGACAGAGCTCCCAGGGACCCACGGACACGCTGGGCAGGGAGCAGGTGGAGTGGCCGGGGCTGGCTGCTTGTGCCAGGGCTCCTGGAGGACACAGCAGCTCTGTTTGCCCGTGCACGGTGTGGGAGGCTCCCCCAGCTTGGCACCAGAAGGTTAGGGCTGTTGAAAAGGCTATTGTTTTCACCCTGTGTTTTTGGAAAAACAAGGGGTGAGCCAGGCAGAGGCACGAGAGCCGCCCTGGCTTCTTCTGCCTCGAGTTTGTGCTGCCGTGGGCACCTCCCTGGCTGCTCTCCCAGCCCCTGACCTCCTCCTTCCCACGCCCTGCAGTTCAGACCCCCGGTCCCACAGGGCTTGTGCCAGTGTCCTCGTTCCCTCACATCTTTCCCTGATCCTCTGTTAGCAGGAGAGGTCTCTGCTGTGTCAGGAGCAGCACTGATGGCAGAACCAACACACAGAGGTGTTCTCCCCAAGCAAAGGCTTCTCCAGCCTTGGCCTCTCTCTGTTGTGGTGACCAAGCCACTGGCCAAGGCCGATTGCCCTCATTGCTGCAGAGCTGGACCTAAAGACTTGCTGTGACATGGCTCAGCAACCATGGGGCTAATGGCCCAAATAAGAGAGAACACCCAGATATATTTGAAAAAAAACCCCCACATGTGCTTTGAGACTCAGCTGTGGTATCTGAGCTGGAGCTGGGCAGGATCTCCAGGGGCTTTTAGCCGGGCTCCAAGTGAGGTAGAACACACACATGTCCTTTTCCCAGGAGAGCTAGGCTTAGAGCTTCTCCTTCCTGGCTTTCACTGCTATCAAATGCCTGCCTAATGAGATTTATCAAATCAACTAACTTCTGTACAACAATGACAGGAATGCAGATCTCCTCTGCTCAGTCAGGGCTTGCTGTGACTGTGCAGAGCAATTAGAGGTGAGTCACAGGGGCAGGTGGACTTGGCCGGGATCCTGAGAGGGCTGGCCCTGTCCCTGGGATCCAGGGGGCAAGACTGGCTTCATGGTGATGCCAAGAAAGTGGGTGTTTATCTACATATAATGTTTATCTGAATATAATGATTTTTTGGCTATAACTGCATGAGCATGGAAGGCGTTTTTCCCTCGGAGGAGTTGCAAGGTAACACCTCGTTATGTACCCTTACATAACAGCAAGGGGCTGCTGCTAATTGGCAGAAATATTTAAGTTTCCCACCTGCTGCTGGTTCTGTTTGCTGATGACTTTGTCTCCAGCTCAGCTGCCCGTCAGTCCTGAGGCTGGGGAAGGGGTGGCTGCTGCAGAGCCTCGGCGCTGGAGGATGCTCTTCCAGGGGGTGAAGGTCAGGTTAACACCCAGAAGGTGTTTCCTAGGTGTGTGTAAGGTGTTTGGTTTGGTTTGGCTTGGCTTGTAGCTCCCTTCTAATGGCAGGAACAAATATTTCCTTAGTGTAATGACTGGAAGGATGAAAATTCACTGTCTCAGCCTGAAGAGATGAGCAGTTTCCTGGTCTGTGTCCTCAGCTTGCCCTGCAGATAAGGGCTGTAATGCTCTTTGATTTAGATAACAGGGAGCCAAACCCATCCCTGCTCTTGACAAATTTTAATTTCCTGATCCAGATCCTGGGCTGAAGTGGTCTCACACAGCAGCAGAAAGGGATGTTTGTCAAATCAGAGTACTGCAGATATATGTTTTTAACTTTAAACCTCTTTTAACTGCTAACTGTGAAGAAAGCAGTCTCCAAGCCCTGCCATGAAGCCATGCTCCACCTGGGGCAGGAAGGAGAAAGGTGGGAAGATCTGGCCTTTAACCTTGAGGAATTTTTCCTGGTGTGCAGGTGCTGCATGCTCTGCTGCAGCTCGGCAGCTCTCGTAGTCAGATCCAGGGGCGGGGAACTTGAGATAAAAAGTTCTTCTCAGCCTTTTCAGTGTGGTGAGACGTGGATAAAAGCACTGAGATGTTTGGTTTAGGGTGACAGGCCCTAAATGCAAACAGCTGAAGTGGGAGGAGGCTCCATGGGGGCAGACAGAGCCCTGCAGCAGCACCAGGAGCCCTGAGCCAAGTGCTTGGACAAACCTGGTGTCTCTTGCATCACTCCCTAGAGCAGTGCTCCTAATCCTTTGTATCCCTGCAAACACAAGAGGAGAGTGTCTCTGTTGTTTTGTTGCTTTGGCCAGACCTTCCTTCCCTCCTGCCCGAAAAGTGCAGGCTGAGGACACAGCCCAGACCTTTGGTTTCTGGGAGAACTCGGGGGCACAGACACGGCCACAGGTTCAGTGTTGCCAAAGAGGTTTTTGGTGATTTACAGCCCGTTGTGCTGAGCGAGTTGGCAGATGCTCTGAGCTGGCAGAGAAGGAGGGAGATGGTCACGTGGAACAAAACACTGTCTCCTGGCAAAACCAAGGAGAAAGTCTGGTCTGTGGGCTCATTGCTGGGTGCAAAATGGTGCTTAAAAATCACCCTGTGGAAAAGTAACGGGTTGGGTGGGTCTGGTTGAGCAGAGTGAACTACACAGATTTCCATAGGTGGTGTTTCTCCAAGTGCTATCTCTGAACTCTTCCTCCATGAAGGAACCATCATCAAAGCAAGTATTTAAATAATGTCAAAGGCTCTTTGACCCTGAAGTGTGCAGGTGTGAGGGGAGAGCAGGAGTCACAAAGAAAATAACCCTGTTTTCCTTGTTGCCCAACCCCTCATGTTCCTCACCTTTTAAATAAAAAACTAGTATTAGTAAACCTAGCTGACCTTAAAAAAAAAACCCCTTAGAGTCAGGAGACAAGGGAATGAGGTCCTCAAAGGAGAATGTACAAAAAGGCTTGGTCATGAAAAGAAAACCTCAGCAATGTTGAACTGATGAATGGGGATTGAAACAGCAGCCTCAGCCCTTTGGACACCACTGGCATTAATGGAGCTCTGACTGAAATCACCAGTCCTGTGTGCTGGATGTTTTCCCTTGGTCTCCTGCTCACCTCTGGTTGCTTTCTGTTGCCACCAAAGGTCACTCCTGTGGCTCCTGGTGCTGTTTAATTGCAGTCCTGACTATTCCCACTCAGTGTCAAGCGTCAAACAACCCTTAAGTAAACGAGAGCTTTCTGAACACCACCCCAACCTTTCAGCTCTGCTTTCTGAAGCCTGTAAAGCTCCTTTCTGCCTCACTGCAGGCAGGTGCAAGCCCAGAGTAACCCTGCTCAAGTACACAGAGCTGTTCTCATTTCACAGCACAAGTAGGACCATACCTGAGGTCCAGGGAGAGCAGTTTATCTGCCCAGGATAAGCCCTTGTTTTTCTAATATGACTGGAAATTAATTCCAGAAATGTTGTGATACCATGTAATTGGGAGTCCCCTGAGCTGGTACCAGAATCTATTTTTGCCAGGTCCCCTGCAGACCAGTGAGGATGTTGCTGCACCACCAGTAATGAAGATTTAGAGAGTCCTTGCTTGCTTTGAAGGTTTGTGTCCTTTGCCCTTGTGCTGCTGAAGGTCTCTGTCTCATCCCAGAAAATCAGTGCAATATTAAATTTTCTTTCCTTCTCCCACCTTCCCTCATTCTTGTATTGTTGATATGACATGGGCCAAGGGCTATGTGTGTGCTGCAGTTGCCCCAAGGTTTAATGGATCTTGGCAAGTTAAAGAGAAAAGAAAATCTGTGGAGGGTGTGCTGCGGCCCTTTTTCCATCTGGGATGCTAATTTGAGTATTTCCTCAGCCCAACCATCAATTTTTCATGGAATTTCTAAGTGGATAATTGTGTTTGAGACCTCTAACCTACTGTTGGACAGGACTGAAGCAGGCCATTAATTCCACATCTTGCTCATGCCTGCTGCCAAGCTGAGGGTTTAAAAGCACAGGAGCTGCCAGCATACACAGTTTGTCCCTTGGGGTTCCCATGAAACACTCATTTGAGTGACACAGGGAATGGGATTGAGGTCTCCAGGCTGCTGTGAAGGTATCTGGGGGGTTCCTGGGGGTTGGTGCCACCTGGGGCTCCAGGATTCTGCAGGATACAGATGAATGTGCTGATGGAGAGGGGCTGTGTGCCAGCCCAGGAACCTGTGGATGTCTGGGGTAACCCTTCCCAACCTAACCGTACTCCCAAGTAACCGTGGAAGTGGAAACAAAGTGGGAAGGATGCTAGGAAGAGTTGGAGCTTAAACCCCATTTCTGCAAGGCTCAAAGACAGCTGATCAGAAGAAACCTGTTTATTGTGAGGCTTAGGAAAACAATTTCTATGCAAATTGCTTTTTTTGGCAAGTAATGGAGTCGATACAGAACTTGGAATTACAGTTTTAAGAATACAAACACGTATCTTCTTCAACAAACACAAAACAAACTTCTCCAGGGAACATTAAATGAACAAATGCTTCCTTAAACAAATGGGAAACAAACAAGGGGTGAGGGGGGGCAAAACAAAACAGCAACCCAACTCAGAAGCCAAAACCCCACTGAAGAAGCAGCAGTCACATCTTGAACTTTACACTCAGGCTGTACTTTCGCTTTGCTTTTCCTGTTCAATAGCTGGCAGGAAAACAGAGGAAACAAAAACACCATCAATAAACATTCCTGTTTATGGACTTTGTTTTCCTATGGAGACAGGCTGAGAGAGTTGGGGGTGTTCATCCTGGAGAAGAGAAGGCCCAGAGGAGACCTCAGAGCCCCTTCCAGTGCCTAAAGGGGCTCCAGGAGAGCTGGAGAGGGACTTGGGACAAGGGATGGAGTGGCAGGACAAGGGGGAATGGCTTCCCACTGACAGAGTTAGATTGGATATTAGGGAGAAATTGTTCCCTGTGAGGGTGGTGAGGCCCTGGCACAGGTTGCCCAAAGAAGCTGTGGCTGCCCCGTCCCTGGAAGTGTCCAAGGCCAAACTGGACAGGGCTTGGAGCAACCTGGGATAGTGGAAGGTGTCCCTGCCCGTGGCAGGGGGGTTGGAACTGGATGATCTTTAAGGTTCCCTCTAACCCAAATCATTCTGTAACTCTGTGATAGTGGTTCTACAAGGTACAGATTTCTACAGTCATTTTTAAAGCCAGGGAATGGTTAAATCCACACTTGCTTTTTTTGGTCACCCTGGAAATGCCAACTCCTTCCCATGTCTGCCTAGCTAGGAGGGGGCAGTTCCTGAGGTGCAAACCTCCTTTTGTATTTACAGCTTTAGCACTTTTAAGGATAATAAAACAGGGGGGAAAAAACAGGTATCAAGCCAAGGGACAGTGCATCTCCATGGCTATCAGCACAGACATCCAGAGGGGTTAGCAATGCTCTTCTGAAGGAAGCTGCCCACAAAATCTGGCCCAAATGCTCTTTCATACCTGAAGTAGAAGTGAATCCCAACCTCACCTGGCTGCCTGTGCACAGTGCCTGTAGGGGAGAAGACCCTGCACGAGCAAAGCTCAGGGGTGCTTTGCTAAAGAAGATTTCCTATTAGATGAGGATGATGATGGGGTTTTCTTGCAGACTTATTCCCAGAGAAGGTGCCTGGAGGTCTCCTGGCCAGGGTTGGCAGCAGGTACCAGTGGGAGGCAGCAGCTCATCTGCCTGCTAACACATTAAATCCAGAGCCCAGGCACTCTCTGGGGAGGCTGCCAGGGATGGGCAAGGGTCCCCCTGTGCCTCCAGAGAGGCTGGTGACATGGTAATTACAAACAGATTGATCCTGTTACCAGCACCCAGCGGGGACACTGGTCTTGCTTCTAGCAGAAGCAAGAGCAATCCCATCAGAAAGGGTTTTTCAAACAAAATGCACCGTTGGTTATAATTACTGGTATCCTTGGAAGCCCAGCATAGACTACGAGTCTTAGTATTATCCCCACTTAAAATCAGGGATGAGTTTGAGCCTGTAATCCCATGATTAGTATTCATTTTGCATATGAACTGCAACACAGATTGTGTCCTTGCTACTCACAGTTCAAATAGCCTCAGAAGCACTTACTCTCTTTAGTGGGCAATGGGTTTTTCTCTCTGGTTTCTGTCTTCTTCAGCTTGGTCTTGTCAAACGTTTCAATTTCTGCAAAATCTGGTTTGTCGGACATGATGGGTCCTGACAAAGAAAGGGAAAACACACCCATGGCTTCATTAGCTAGTGCTGTGATATCAGCCATCTGCAAAGCATTTTCTCCTCGAAAGAAAAAAATGTGAAAAGACCATGGAAATGTTTATTCAAATAACCCCACAAATCTAACACCTCGATCTGGGACCTTTCCCCCAAGGCTTGGCTCTTTCAGAGCAGAAGAGGAAAGGTATAAATAGAATTTTCTCTGGATTTCTCAGATGAAATTACTAAAAAATCCTATTTTGCACACGGCAACAAGAATATTCAGTATTGAAGAGACAATGCATTAATTGCCAGTAATCCACGGTGCCTCCTGACATAAACCTCTATTTTAAAAAACGCTGCTGACCAGAAAATCTACAGTAAACCCCAAATCCAACAGGAACAAAGAGCTTCAGTTATGATTTGCTTTTAATTAATAGGATTTATGTTTAATTCTGAGCCCCCTGTCCTGAGCACATCCACCCCCTGAGCTGCTGTGGACACTTTAGCGTAACAATAGAGGACTGGTTCCCTCAGCCCTTTGTTTGCTCTCGCTCCATATCCCACTCACAGCTCAATGGGTTTGATTATACCCTATTATAATAAAGAGAAATCCACAAAGCACACCAGCATTCAACCCTTCACCTGTCAAAACTTCCCTAATCCCATTCATTTTTTAATAAGCAATTCAAGTTAAAATCCAGCCTGGGCGTTATTCCCCTCGTTTCAGTAGAGTTTCCCGTCAAGGCGAGGCTTGGCCCGGAGATGGCTGGTATAATTATATTTTTTCCTTCCTGCAGAAAATCAGATTTCATTGCTATCTGCACTGAGGCAACAGAAGTAAATATTCACAAGAAAAAAAAACCAACAAAAATGAAAAAAAAAAATGAAAAGCTACTAAAACCACATGGCATTACCGTCTGGCTGCTCTCTCCTCAGCTGCTTGGTGGCCGTCTGAGGCAGTGTGAGTTGAAAAAGGTCAGGGTAATCCCTCCTCTCCTCTCCCCTCCTCCCCCCTCCCAAGCCCATCGCTATTAATATTGATTAGTTTAGTGCTGGGATTGCTCAGCGTTTAGGGAAAGGACAGATTGCTCCTGCAGAAAGTGCATGAGGGAGGGAAATGGGAAAACTGGCATGGAAAACTGCCAAAATGCAGCTTGATCTTTCTTTTTTTTTATTTTTCTCCTCCTTTTCTGTGGCAGTCATGTTGAAGTTTCGCTTCCTGTCCTTTCCCAACGCTGAGGTTTGGAGTAAAGGTGAGCCTGGGGGGCTGCTGCTGCTGCTGCCAGGTTAGTTTTTGGGGAGATTTTAGGTGCATTCAGCAACATGTCTGGGATTCACCCCTACCTGCCCAAGCTCACAGGAGCTTGGGGCTGGGGAGGGCTCTAAGCACAGCCGTGGCATCATTGCCAGGATCAAGGGCCAGATCTGAGATCGGCACGGCCTGAGCACCACACCAGGAACGTGTCCTGAAAGGATGGACAATGGATCTTCCATTCACTCCTGTTTTTGTAGCAATCCACCCATTTGCTGGTGCCTCTCTCAGCCCGTGGCTCTGCACACCAGACCAGGCAGCTGCCCACAGCCAACCTCCCTGCCTCCACTGTGCAAAAAGCCAGGTTGGTTTGTGTGACCATTCCCTGTTCTCCACCTGTTCCAATGGCGTGGATCACACTGGACTTGCTTCCAGGGAACCTCTTGAGCTGCAGCAAGCGGAGAATTGTGTAGGTGCCAAGTGATGTGATTAAGAAAATCCCTTTGAAATGGCTGTTAGCCCTTGTCTGTGGCTGCAAGCCACTGTTGGGAATTAGATGTGGGCACGGCCTGTAGCCACCACCCAGCGCTGCTGCTCTCGAGGGCTGTGACATCCCTGGGGCAGTGACATCCCTGGGACTGTGGGCATCCCTGGGGCAGTGACATCCCTGGCGCTGTGACATCCCTGGAGCTGTGATGTGGCTCCAGCTGCCCAGCACAGAACTACTTGGGGAATGACTTTCCAAGGCAAAGGAAGGGAAGGGCTGTGTGCAGCCTCCTAGATCCTGGTGTGGGGTTTCCTCTCGGGTACCTTTGGATGTCTCCATCTGAATTACCTGTCTAGACTCCATGATAAGCCAAAAGGGAGGCAAGTAAGTTGGGATAAAATTAATTGAGCCCTAGGAGTACCTGGTTGCCTCCAGTGACTGTAAGGCAGCCTGGACAATGGGCTCAGGGAGCCAGAGATGTCTCAGCTGACCGAGAGCCCCAGGAAGGTCTGTGGATCTTCCTGTTGGCATAACAGGCTCAGGTAGAGTGGATTTGAGTCTGATATACGTGCATGGAGAAAATGGTTTTAATGTGTTTAAATGTGTCTTAAGGATCTCTTCTTTGTTTAAATTAAAATAATGAACAGGTTTTTGGTTGGGCTAGATGGTCTTAGAGGTCTTTCCCAACTCAAATGATTTGTGCAGGCTGGCTTGGTTACTGCATCTGCACTGACTGTCCACACAAAATCACTGGGTGTGTGCACCGTATTTAATGTCAGGACTCTGTTCCTTTGCTTCCATCCCATATATCCAAGCAGTTGTCACAAATTGAAAGCTGTGTTCTTGACTGAAAGACCTTGGGAATAAGCAGGAAGGCGGATACTGAGTGAATATTGGTGGAAGCTGTAGCTGAGATTTGGCACTGAACAGTCTTGGTGTCTGTATAAAGAGAAACCATTTACCTCTTGATAGGCTGGACATGAGATTTAGAAGATCAGAAAAGACTTTAAAACATAATCTGAGTGATTCATCAATCGAGGCAGTTCACGAGTTTCAGTGTTTTTAATGTTTGTCCATTTTTTCAAATAACAAATATAATTCTGACTATGAAGAGAGACTACAAGGGCAAAACCTCTTAAACATTTAGACTGGCACAAGTTCTCGGAGCTGTAGAAAGCAAACAAAATGTTTGCAAAGCAGAAGAATCTCACTTCTGGCTTTCTGTGTCCAGTCATGGGCTCAGCCCCAGGATCCACAGCAGAGCTCAGGCTCTTCTAAACATGCTAAGACAGGGTGAGCACGCTTGTTTTCACCACCACCACTTTAATTGCCCAATTTATTGGCAGAGCTAGTATTAAAAACAGTTTGGGATACATTGTTTGGGGTTTCAGGCTGAAGATGACCAGGTTCTTAATTGATATTGGGTTGGGTTTGTGAGGAAGGTGCAACAGTGTTAAGCCAAACAACATAATGATGAGAAATTACATGTTCTTGCTCTGTTGAAATCAGGAGATACTCATCTCTGCAACAAACGTCTTGACCACTGCAGAAAGTTCCTGTCAAGTTTCTGTAGCTTTTAAGTTCGGTCCTGCGGTCAAACACAGCTCATGTGGGATTCAAACCTCATGTTTATATACTCTGTGCAGCACAGGCAGCTGGATGCAGTTTACATATGGAAAGTTTGGAATTTGGCCCGAGGGCACTGCATACTGCATTGAGGCTGATCACAGGAGGGAAAGATGGGTAGGTAATATATTACTCAGATGCCTTTTTATTTCACTGGGAGTGGAAATATTCTTGCTACATGAGCAGCAAAGCAGTTATTTGTCAGGTTTTTAATGGCAGGATTTTGGAGTCACCACTGTCAGTAGGGGGAACATGGCATTTCCCTGGCCTTGGGATGACTGTGGTTGCAATAAATCTCAACTTTCTTTGGGGAGCACGGAGGCAGCAGAAAGATCCAGCACACATAAATGTGAAAAACCAGGAAGCCAGTGGAGCATGCAAACTATGGGATCTTTACACGTGCTCTACACATAAAGCACGTAAAGCTACATTGATATGGCTGTGCCTGAAAAGCTGCCTCATACAATGGAAATTGCATTTTATTTCAATCTGCTGCCAAAAGATGAAGGGCTGAGTCAAACTGACACCTCTGATACCAGTGAGTCACCTGCCATTGACAGCATCAAACCATGCCTGGCAGCACAAGCCACTGAGTGTCTGTCAGACACCCACAGAGAAACCGGGGAAAACAAACACTTGCTACCAGGATTTGGTAATAGGTGAGAGGAAACGTTTAAAAGGAGCTCGAGTGCAAAGTCTGAGGAGTGAGGCTGGGACTTTTGAAGCCTGCTGTCACTTGGCCTCTTCCCTTGGCTGCTGTCCTTTGGAAGCAGTGTGCCCAGTCCATGTGGGGCTGGGGCTGCAGGGACATCAGTGTATATATTATATATATGAGGGCTGTAGCCTTTCACGGGCTGGGGGATGCTGTGCTCATGTTTGGCACAAGAGGTGCTCTGGAAATGCCAAGTTTCATGGAGACAAGATGGGCAACTGCCAGAAAGAGGGAGTTTCTTTCTCCTTGGTGCAACAGTGGGGAATCAAATCGTATCCATTTCCACAGGGAGCTGAGGAGGGACAAAGCACCCCAACGAGCAGCCGGCGGGTGGAACAGACGCTCGAGCAGATCAGTGTCTGTAGCTGAGCCAATAAGCTGACACAACTGATTTTATAATCACATCAGTGCTGTCTCGAAATAACACACCCACTCCAATATAACAGTGATTTCATTTCCAAAATGTTGTGGTAATTTTGGTGCTAAAGGTAGGGGATTAATTTTTTCAAGGTCAAAAGCCGGGCTGGAATCTGCACGTGGCCTAATTCCTTCAGGTCCCTGTGAGCACCGAGCACCTCCCAGGCAGGTACAGGATTGCGTGTGCTGTAAGCTGTCCTTAGAAGGTTTCCCGTCCTCAGGGGAACAGGAAAAAAAAAAAAAAAGACTACAGCTCCACTGAAAGGGTTTTCTTAGTTCTCTTTGTGCCTTTTGTTCCGTCTTGCTGCCAAAAAAAATATCCATGTTTGGGAACGGAGACAGGTTCCCAGGCTAAGAGACAATGAATCCTGGGGGTGTAAGGAAGGCACTGATCCCTCTTTGGCAGACTTTCTGCTCTAAGGCTGCACTGTTAGTGAGTAAATACTCGATACTTGTCTTACACTGTATGTTTTATCGTTACCTAAGGTGTTTCATTTTCCTTATCAAGACCATTGTACCTTCAGGGTAGGTACATACAGAGGATGAGCGGGGGGAGGAGAGGCAGTTGTAGATAGTCCTTCTCCTTGGGCTATTTTTTCTAATCCTGTGTTTTCCAAATAGCTCAGGATATCAAACAGTCTATACTGGGAGTCCCATTGCAGCAAAGAGCAAAAAGAGAAAACATAAGCTAGTGGGAGTAGAAATTTCCTCTCTCCCTCTTTTTTGGTATTATAAAACTTGGTATGGGGGTGAATTTTTGAAAGTTTAACCAGATGGAGGTTCTTGCAACAGAGCTTTCTCAAGAACTGACCCAAAAGTGTGTCTTCCAGCATAAACTACTTTGCTCTGGCCTGGCCTTTTCTAGCAAAATGTGGTGACCCATGTTTGCATTATTAAAGGAAAAAAAGAATTAATACAAAATGTCCAAGCACATGTTTCTCTCCCAAACATAGGGTGGGGAAAGAAGCATGTGATGTCTTAGTCACATTAGTTAATGCTATCGAGCACATGACAGTTTGTGATGAATGCTGGTCAAGAAACACAAGTTTAGCATGACTTTGTCTTTACTAAGTCATTTTTTTCTCCCTGTCTCTGGACAGAAGCACCTCTTGCAAACAGCAGCTTCTAGGGAAGTAGTAAGGCAGGGAAGTCTAGGATGTGCTCAAACACATGATGGCTCTTCCCAGTGTAGCTGGCTGCTCTGGAATGGAGCAATCCACTCTTGGAATTCTCACTCTCTTTGCTTTAAACAGGAGGAACATCACCCTTCCTTATGAAGTTCAAATTGTGCAGCAAATAGATAACCAACATAATCCAAGAGAAGATAATCAAAGATAATACAATCCAGGGATCTACTAACTTTATATTACCTTCAGATTTTCCTTTTGTCCAGAGGAAGAAGGACAATAAGTGGGTCTGTCGTTACAATCCGTGTTGTGCTGGGGTAGATATGGAGGTGTGGTGTTGACTCCTGGGACACAGGGGTGTAGTTTTGATGGGTGCC